GCTTATCATAATAAGACCGGACATTTTTTGAACGAGCGTTTAGGAAAAAAATTAGGCTGCATTTCGTTACGGCGTTACGCGGGAAAAAATTACCGCGAAATTTTGTTTTCGGGTGAATAAATTTTTAACATCAAGTCTCCTGGTGTTGCAGTAGTTCAAGGGCGGCAGTAATTACTTACCATCAGGTGAGCTGCATGCTCGTGTGTCCCCTCTCCTATAAAAAAAAACTAATTGTGTCTTTGTTTTTCTTTTTCATTTAATTATACCACAAATTTATGTGCATAACAATATTATGTGATAGGTACTGTGTATAACGACAGTCCTCCCGTTCCTATTTCATCTTTACGACAGTCTGCAATCAAAATTTCTGTAATTTAAAATCAAGAAACTTAAAGTGACGAGCTTAAAGCGATAATATTACGTATTCAAAATCACTTATCGCGTTTAAGAGCTAATAAAACCTCCACCTCAAAGTCACTTAATTGGTGAATGATTTCTGTTTTTCGGCTTTTATGACCTAAGTTAAAGGTCTTATGGTTGAAACGATTTGTTACTAATTATAAAGAAATCATATTCTACCTTAAAAGTGTTAAACTTTAAATTGTTACAAAACTGTAGCATTATTTCTGAAGCTTAATTTATGATTCATGATGACACCCATCCCATAAGTTTGGGAAAATTAGGACAATACGAGTATATACAATTTTGTCATACAAATGGTGGAGAAATTTATATTGTGGATGTAAGGTTATTTAATTTAAAAAAGGAAACCAAATCTCTACCGGCTATATTGTTAATTATTGCTGTTTTCGAAGCAGACTGCATATCTCTCGCCGATACGAGTGGTTATGCAAGCTTGCATTCGCCAGTGAAACGTATAAAGATAGTTGCTTTATTAAAATTATATTCATGAATAAAACAGGTTAATAGTTATCAAGTTTGTTATCAGTATCAAATTAAGTAAATAACAAGGTAAGCAAAACAACGAAAACGATAAATAATAATAATTAAGTAAGAATATTTATAAGGCTTTATTGAAACCAAATATTTAAGTAAATTTTCATAAAGATGGGAAATATTTTTTGCAACTTTATTCATATGGATACAATGAGATTGTAAATAATTCTATTTACCATCCCATTATTGATTCTAAAAAGTGTTACATACACAAGTGTACCATTAATTCTAAAAATCGTTACTCTGCAACTCAAAGAGCTGAGTTTTAGCACCTATAAAGTTTACTGACGAAATTAAACATTAAACCAGTAAGTGGTAAGTAATCAGTTTTTACCGTTATAGTATTCACATCAGTCAAATCCAGTTCCATAACTTCACCGAAACCAATCAAAGAGAATCGATGACTGGCGTATCATATTACGCTTCATGGTATTTCTTTTAATTTCAGCAATACAATTATCTCTGTTATTAAAAAGAAAATTAATTCTTATGTATGTAAAGGTAAAAGTAAAAATGAATTGCAATCAGAATCGTTATTTGTAATAATCAATAATAAATAAAAATATGCGAATCTATTCTAAAATAACTTTCAAAATATTAAATATTGTGATACTTGGCTGGCACTTTCACCTAATGGCAATGATGTACTTTCACAAAAAAAAAATATAACTTCAATGTGTTTTGTTAACATGTGTATCGTTAGCATAAAATAAAATTAAAAAAAAACTAAAAGTCGTTTATTTCCACCACAAGGATCATAGATGTTTGACGCGTTGGAATTGGCCCGCACCCTGGGCCCCAGGGATGTGCATCGTTTACGCATGTTGGTGTAGAAACAATCCACACGCGCATCCGCGAACATACCCGACGCACTACAATAACGACGTTATACGTGGTAGAGCCATGCTGCAGTTATATTAGATGTATAGTTGTAGCACGAATGGGTCGGCTCGACCGGGGAAGGACCACGCTCTCACAGAATACCAGCGTGAAATAGTAGCTTAATGCTGCTGTATTTCGTATGGTGAGTGTAGAGAACCGGCGACCCATTTTACTGTAAACGAGGTATTCCATCTTAGTCCTCACGGGTGACAACACATCTGCATTTTGATTCGTAATCGAGGATAGATGTAGATGTCTATGGGCCACAGCAACCACTTACCATCAGGTGGACTGTGTGCTCGATTGTCACCCTATCCTATAAAAAAAAAAAAAAAAAAAAAAAAAAAACGAGGCAGACCCAACAGCACCCTGAATGCATTATTGTATTGAACACGCAGGGCATTATACTGTTTCTGCGTGTAGTCCACCCACAGAATGCTCGTGTAAAAGGAAAAAATTATTTACATTTATTATATTAGATCAATTGATATATTGATCATTAATATATAGGGAAATATTATTTACATTTTCCAGACAAGTTTTACTAGATGCGTTTATTGGTTCAACTATTTATGAGGGCATGGGGACGCTTACTCGATATGACCGAAAAATATCGGATGAACTGTCGGAGCCAATGGATAATCATAAATTAATTCATTTATAGAACCGGTTGAATTTTAAAAACACAACCCTTAAATCTCTGCGGATAGTGGTAGGGTGGCCTCGCTGTTTCTTCAATGTTATCTTTTTTATCGGCTCCTTATAATAGAAACAGAAACAGAAAGCAGACAGCAGGTGGCAATTTGAGAATTAAAAAGCAACCCTCCTTTTACTTTGGAAACATTGGAAGTAAAAACCTCAGTAATCCTAAAGAATAGTTCTTACTGAATAATTAAATTGTAAAATTAACAATGAAGTGAATAAAACTATTTTCTACCGTCAATCACTTCTGTCCACCGTGACCATGTGTACTGCAAAGCACCCGAAACGTCGGGTATTAAAAATAACGCGATCAAATCCGTAAAAATAGTTATATTCAATGTGTAGTGTTCGCGTAAATATAAGAAATCATTATAAACAATTGAGTTAACCGAGGGGGAAAATCGATTCTCGACCAGCACGCTCGTACCGGGAAGCGGTTAGAGATGCAGGAAGTCGTTCCATCTAGGTGACTTAGAACCGTGCCTTGGGCCTTGTAGGTGGTCTATATTCAGCAGTGTACCTATTTGTAAAAGGATGCGCTAGGATGGACGTAAAACTAAATTAATAATGGACATGACGATATTTTAAGATGGTGATATTTTAAGTAGCAGCTCATTGTATTATAACTTATTGTAGATTTTGATATTTTAAGTAGTAACTCATTGTAAACAGCACGTGCAGAGGTACGGGTGCATCACACTTTGTTATGCAGTCACTATTTTTGGGTCCTCGTATTGCATACATATGTGTATAATTACTTTAAGCCTCGTACCATTTTATCTAAGTCATTTGATTGATCATTTACTTTTCGTGATTATGTTATTTGAGGCCATTCCTTCCTGAGACATATAACAATATTCTTTGGGCATTCTGCTACGGTCATTCAAGCATCTTCTATGTTTTCTGATTAATTATGTAAAGTTGTTACCGAAAAACATTCATTGTAAAAGAATTTAGATCTTAATTAAAATTATCTTAGAATTTAAATCTTTCCGAACACAAAACTAAAATATTAAAACGTTTAATATTTTAGTTTTTAGCAATTTATGAATCTAAGAAAAGATACTTATAACTATAAAAACTTTATTATTATTATTGTCTTGTATATTTTATGGAGAACATATACCTAATACTTCACACAGGCATTTGTAAAATTCATTAAGATTACACAGAGAAAATAGATGTGAGATTTGAGCAAGCTGGTGTAGTGTAGGTATCTCGTTAGCATTTTGTTTTTTAACTTGGTTTAGAAAATATTAATATAACAAAATTAAATTTACTTACGTGTTTTTGTTTTACCTTACTTATTTGTTTTTCGAGCATATTAAATATTTTAAAATATAGTAATAACAGATCACGAGATTCCTCTTTCCAAATAGAATTTAAGGAGGAACCCCGACTCTAACAAAAACAATTTTTTGGTAGTAGTAAAGTTAAATGTAATATCTAGCCTATACACTATTATCTATTATGTAAAACCCTTTTCTTATTTCCGAAATGGTTCTTGGAACAATTATTCCGCCATGCAGTATGTGTGGCGAATTACACATGTCCTCGAAATATTTTATTTCTGAGACATGCAGATTGTTTCAGTGTTTTCCTTCACCACCGAGCACGTGATAATAAAAAATAAATATGTAATAAAACATTCCATTTTTGTTAACGAGAATTAAAGCCGGATTATTCACGTACCTACTGTGAAATTTACGGCAAGCACTTAGCCCCTGAGCTGCTACAGCTTTTATTTGAAACAGATCAAATGCAATTATTCATTAACACAATATTGAATTTCAGTAATTTTAATAAATCTACGGCTAATAGAAAAAACAACATTCTAAGGACTACGATCACAGATATCAACACAAAGTTTCCTTCAACATTTTTCGTAATTTTCCATCGGTTCCATCTTCAAACCAAGAAAGTTATAATATAGATATAAATTCCAAATAGTATTCATTTAGTTTTTCTACCTAATAATAACTTATTATTATTATATTTTTTAATTATTTTTAAAATACTTAGTCACACAGTTTTATGATTCTATGTTTAATTAAATTTATTTAACGTTATTGTATTTATAATTTTTTGTGTTATGTACATCAGTTCCATGAATCGTTATAATACAAAGACGTTTAATAGTCGCTCAAAATAAAAAGCTGTGCGCGTCTGTCCAACTTTTTGCGCGACCTCTGCGCACGCGACGCCGCGACCGTCAGTAATCGATCGCGAGACGTGGGTGATGTGTGACGCGCTAATTCCGTTTCCGATGTTACATTTTTATAAACACGGAACTTATTAACGAATATAATCAATTTTATTACAGTAAAATTTTTGGTTTATTCTTATACATACATATTTTCACTGTTATCGTGAAAATAAAATGGTGTATTTAGTGACGTGCAATAAGTTTGTAATCTAATAAACTGTTATTATAACAAATTAGTGATTATTTAGACACAATGTGGTTTTTAAGTTTTTTATTTATACCGGCGTACGCCCACGATATTGGAATTCCGCAGAATTTGACCAGGTGTGTTTGTTTATGAATATCATTTTCACATTTAATTTTTTTAATGACTATCATGATTGAAGTTTTAAATTCTTATAAACTATATAGTTTATGAATAATTTTGTAGTAAAAAAGAGGTTATTACACAAAAAGGACGTATTGTATTTTTTTAATACCTAGATACCTAATATAATAGGTACCGTGTTTAGTCAGATTGTTTATTTACCGGTAGACCACTTTTTACCGATGCATTTAAACAGCAGTCGCAGCACTATTATAACAACCCATACGGCTGATAATTTAAGTTGGTTTATATGATTTTAAGTCTGATATTAGTACAGTTTGAACATTCATAAATAGGTTCTCAGTGTGGTACCAATGTTCTAATAATATGGAAATGGAAACTTGAAGTTCCATTCTCGGCGGCAAGCAAACGCATAAACGTATGATTGGCTAAGTAAATATAAGATGCTTCGTCGGAATCACAGAAAATGCATACCCGTGTATGCATATCTAGATAGAAAATGCGGAGTGTAACGAGTAATTAGATATTAGAGAATCGTAATAGGTAGATAGCGCTCGCTGTAAATTTTATAGTTGCGAGCAATCAGCGTTTGACCCCACCGGCTATAAGGATATTGTTAGTTGCTCTTTTAAGGAAAACATAGTGAGGAAACTCGCATGTCTCAGCAATATACAAATATATTTTGATGATGTGCGAATTCTACCAACACGCATGGGGGCAGCGTCGTAGACACACTTCCTTGTCCTCAAACCCTCCCAGAGAGAAAAGGCCTGTGCCTAGTAAAAGGACGAATAGTAGCTGTAACTTTTTAACCGACTTCAAAAAATTGGGGAGGTACTCAATTCGACTTTATTTTTTTTAATGTGTGTTACCCCAGAACTTTGATCAAGATCTGAATAGTACTTTTTGATCTAACATTTAATAAAACGTATTTAATTAGCTTCGACTACATTCATAATGTTCTCATTTTATTTATATTGTAATCGGTTATACAACATTTTTAATTTTACCACTTGTGGTTGTTATTATCTTTTTTTTTTACTCACATTTATTGAATATAGGAAACATTACCTCTTCTGTACAAATATTTAGGCCCCCACGGCTCTACATTCAATGCAAGAAGCTACTTATATAAGTCAACATTATACTGTGATAATGTCCAGTATAATTTTAAACGGTTACTGTATGGCCATTGTGGCGACGCTGACATCGTGCCACAAGACATAAACAATGCGAGCAAAGACTAAAACGTATGTACTCGTAAATCACGCAATCGAAGTTACGGAACGTCTGTTTTATATAGAATAGGGGTGACAACCAAGCACTCAATCTATCTGACAGTATTTAAGTGAATACTTTCTGCCTTTTAAAACTAAACTTCTACTAATCCAGACTTTGATATTACCCATTATTGATTATGCGGATGTGTGTTACCCAGATCTATCTCAATATCTTCTCGATAAGTTGGAGCGCCTTCTCAACAATTGCATTAGATTCATTTTCGGCTTACGTAAGTATGGCCATATTTCCCAGTACCGATCTAAGCTTCAATGGCTCTCTATTCGTCAAAGGCGTAGCTCCCGAACTTTGCAAGTACTACATTCAATTTTATCTTAAGGATAACTTTCAATATTTGTATTCTACTAACGATAGAGTTCCCCGTTCCCAAAATTGTCTTAAAATTCGTTTTCCACCACATAGGAGTGGTTTCTTTAATTTCTCTTTTACTATACAGTCTATACTGCTCTGGAATGCCTTGCCTGTTGATATCAAGAAAACTACTAACAAGAATTATTTTAAGACTAGTTCGAGAGTTCTGTCGTAAGAATAATACCACCTGACTATCCGACTATTGTATTTTTTTTCTCTTTCACTTTATAAGTAACATTTTGTATATTGTATTTTAATATGTATTGTGTTATTTTAATTTTGTCTCATAATATTTTATTTACTTATAGTTTTGTATAGAAGTACCCGTTTATATATTTATTATTTATCCTATATTATATATTACTAAGTATGTATATTTTACTAACTATATATCTATTCTATTCATTTGCATTTTATTTTGTTTTATATCCTTATTATTTATTTATGACGTGATTGATTAAACCTGCCACAGTTTCTCAAATCATACAGGGTTGACTGGCAGAGAATGCCATAAGGCATTAAGTCCGCCCTTTATATCCCTTAGTATATAAGGTGTATAATAAAGATTAAATAAATAAAATACTTTGGCCCATAGACATATTATACACATTATATCCTTGATTAGGAATCAAATTGCAGATGCGAAACGGAACGAACGGGGCGGCCACACATACGGAATACGTAGGTTTGTGACGGGTCATTGATTTTATATGGACTTGCTGCGTTCGGAATCCCGAATTGGAAATCCGAAAAGGAATCCCGAAACCGAATACCGTATGTATGAGGCCGGCCTAAGCGTGACAAATGAGCACACAGTCCACCCAATGGTATGTAAGTGGATGCTGTGGCCCATAGACTACATGTACCTTTATCCTCGATTAAGAATCAAAATGCAGATGTTTTGTCACCCCTGAGGACTATTAAGATGGAATGCCCCGTTTCCAGTAAAAAAGGGTCTCCGGTAACACAACTATGGGATGAATGCTAGAACGCACGCAGCACGTTTACACCAAATTACATCATCAATTTACTTAAGTGACAACTTCCCTCATGTTAGCTCTTGTTCTGATTCGAAAGAATTATTTAAATATCTGGATAACTAGCTTAGCAGACATTCCTATAAATACCAACAGCAACACGTCAGTTCTAAGAATATGTCGATTGATAGGCCAACGATCTTATTGTTAGCAACTCATACAAACAATGTTTACACATATTTCTGTGTAGGTATTTGTGAATTTGAGGTAATAACCGAACTAGACAACCTTAGAACTTGTCAGATAAGATATATAGAGAGGTTCTGCAGTGTGATACCATAGTTAACATGCGCGATCTGGATTTAATACAACAACTGACCATGAGGTCCCGGTTTGAATACCGGGTCAGATCAAAAAATATAATTTATCGGAGCGGAATCCCGAAACGTAATTCCGCATGTGTTTGACCCGCCTTAGAAGTGTTTATTTTAAGATTACGATGATCTCTTACGATATCTACTGACAAAATAGGATTTCTTTACGCTGGGATTACATACTATAATAAACTACACGTAATATATAATAAACCACACGTAACAAGTTGATTTCAACTCTCAGAAGATTTTTATTGTCTTAATTATTTTTATAGATTTCAATTTGTTCCATAATACGCACCCATTTTTAAATTGTTTGCTATGTGGTGGAGCCGTAGAATACCAGCGTAAAATAACAGCCTGATGCTGCTGTGTTTCGTATATAATTATACAAAAATTAGTTTTTCCATCTTAGCCCTAGGTGGAGACAACACATTGCATTTAGATTCTTATTCAAAAATAAATGAGCTATGAGCCACAGCATCCACTTACCATCAGTTGGATTGTATGCTTTTTTGTCGCCCTGTAATTAGTCTGATAATTGCGTAATATATTATTATATAATTTTTATTCCGTTCTATCCATTACAGCCTATAAAAGTCCATTGATGAACACATGCCTCCCCTATAGATTGCCTCATAAGGAGATATTGCCATGGTCGACATGCTTGGCTAGCGGGTTGTCAACCGCAGTTTTTTTTTTGAGTTGTTGTCATTAAGATGCTGTTACCTATCACCTGTATCAATTTCCCTGTGTCGCCTCTTACGACACATGCGGGACGACAAGGACGCCACTACACGGATTATATGTATTACTAGCTTGCCAGGCAGACGTGTCTGCCCTATCTGCCCTTTTCAACAATTTGTCATTTGTTCTGCCCTTTTCGACGACAATTTGTCATGCCCTATTAAAACTCCTTAAATTCGCAAAAAAAAATGTGGGCAATAAAACTATCTTTCAAGTTGGATCAAACTGCACACGGTGTGCAAATTTGATTAAAATCGGTTAAGTAGTTTAGGAGTCCATCGCGGACAAACAACGTGACACGTAATTTATATATATATATATATATATATAAAAAAAAAAAAGAGCGCATATTCAAATATGTCCAAGTCGAAATCTACGCGATCGCTTTGGAACTGCGTAATATTGACGCACACTACAATGTTATCTCTGTGTGCGTGTCAGGACGAGCGTGAGGCTATAATAGTTGCCTTTAGTTGCACGAATCACTTTGATCTTTGATTATATACCTGTCTTTGATACTATTGGAACTAAAATAATGAAAAAATTATTTCCATATAATGGCTTATATAGTGTATAGAAATCGGAGGCTAATATGTGGAAATTATTTTATTCTTTTAGTAAATTGAAGTCGGCTTTACATTTTCACCCTATTGAGTATATTATATGTTCTAATTGAAAAATATGTATTGTATAAAATATACATCATTTGATAAACTTTTATTCTGTTTCATAATGTAAACATAATTCATCAAACTAACAATTTCATTAGTGTCGGCGGGGATTAGTGTTGCCAGGTCTAGCAAGTAAAATTTCGGGACGGAAGGTAAGAATAATCGGGGATTTGGTTTTCATATCCGAACATCTACAATGACTACAAAATATAGGTTTCGTTGTAGCCTTTTTGTGCTTTATTGAGAGCCGTGGTAGCTCAGATGGTCAACGCTCACTGTAAATATCACAGTATGTGAGTAATGCGAGAAATTGTGACTGTAACTTTACTTTACTTTTGTGCTTTATAATTATTATTCAGGTCTGATCTCATGAACGAATAACTTTCATCCAAACATCGTAAAAACTGAATTTTTTTTTCATTTTAGGCAAATTAAAACATTTTTGAACTATTTGTTTTTTTTGCAGTCCTTGAATTTTACAAATTACTCGTTTTTATACAATTCTGTTTAAAACTTTTGTGTTTTTTTTTCGACTGGTGAGACAATGTCGCAGTAAAAATATTTTAATGTGGTAGTAGCTAACAGATGTAATCATTTTTGCTGTCAAAATTATGGATTAAAATATAGAATAAGAAGGTTAGTGAAAATCGGGACATTTGGCGTCCCGATCAAGGGTGAATCGGAACGTGTTACTAGACCCTTGAAAATCGGGACGTCCCGCGCAAATCAGGACACCTGGCAACACTAGCGGGGATCGAACCCGGATTGTTAACTACGCCCTTGAGCTACTCAACTCAAGCACGGTTCATATGTTTTATATCTGGGGGCACGGTAGTGCCCTCGCCAAGTCTAACAAAACAGCGGCACGGCCGTATCATCATTGCGAGACTTGGTTATTTTACAAGTTATGTTTTTGATGGCATGTCTTTGTTTAATCATAACGTTATCTACACACTAGGAATTTTCCTAAGTACATCGTGGGGGCAGTTTAAATACATTAATTTCACAAGGACAAACATCCAGACCTGGAACAATTATTTGTAGGTAATACAAATTTTTGTTCCATGTGGGATTCGAACCCGCGGCGCTCAGCGCTACAACTCATTACCAAGTCACTCCGCCACGGAGCCAAAAGAGAAAGCCAACGATTTTGTATTTTCCTTGATCCGAATTGCTTACGTTCATTACTCATAACATAAACATAAACACTCACGCCTGTCACCCAGAGGGGTAGGCAGAGACTACAGACTTCCATTTGGCACGATCCTGACACACCTCTCTCGCCTCCTTCACATCCATACACCTCCGCATACATGCTCGTCGGTTAAGGGTACTCCTAATTTGGCCCGTTTTCAATAAATCGCCAATTTGGTCGATAAATTTTCGCCTAGGACGTCCCTTTCCGACTCTGCCATTCACTTCTGCAACATAAATTTTCTTTGTCACTCTTTCCTCATTCATTCTTTCCACATGACCAAACCACCGAAGCATTCCTTTCTTAATCCTGGTCACAACATCATCTTGCAAACCACACTCTTCTCTTATTACACAATTTCTTACCCTGTCATTAAGATTCAGCCCTAACATACTCCTTAACGACCGCATTTCTACTGCGTTCATTCTACTCTCGTGCTTCTTCTGCCACACCCAACTTTCACTACCATATGTTAAAGTAGGGACCAACACAGCATTGTGAATTGCCATACGTGCCACGTGCAAAATTTGAAAGTTGAAGAATGCGGATTAAGAATGGGTGAGTTAACCGTCAAATGCCTTTTGTACGCCGATGATCAAGTTATACTTGCGTCGTCGGCGGCCGAGTTGCAAATGATGGTTACATTAATGAACAGATCATTAAAAGAAAGGGGTATGAAAGTGAACGCAAGTAAGACGAAGGTTATGGTTTTTGAAAGAGAAGAAAGTAAAACGATTTGTGAAATAAGAATAGAAGGGGGAGTTGATCGAGCAAGTAGACGAGTTTGTATATTTGGGCTGCGTATTTAGCAGGGATGGGAGATATGATAAGGATATAGAACGACGAGTGAATGCGGGAAATAGAGTAAATGGGGCCCTGCACTCTATTGTGAAGAGTCAAAATGTGTCGAAAAAGGCACGTATGGCAATTCACAATGCTGTGTTGGTTCATTACTCATTTCTAAAAAAATATGTATGAAATGAAAATTTGCCACTATTACATCATTTAATGTTTAAATATTACTATCATAAACATATTTCAAAATTACTTACTATCAAAAATATCTATTATAAAAGTCTCAATCGTTTAAAATGCTCGATAGTGTTATAGGTAGCTACTTATAGTATAGTGTAGTATAAGCCCTATCGGTGTATCAACGCGATCGCGCGGTGGGGGTGAGAAAAAGTAATACATCCTGTCGTTAGGATTACCCGGAGCGTACTGAATCGAACGGCGTCTGCGCATGATGATTTATAGTATTTTTAAAATAATTATATAAAATAATTGACAAAATAAAACGAGCTAATTTTTTTTTGGATATTTAACATTACAGGTATTTGGGTAAAATAATTAAAATAGATATGTTTATAACCAAATACATGGAAAAAATTACATTGAAGTAGACAGTTTTGGTGATTTTATATAATATTAAATCGAAATATTTTCATAATTTAGGTTTTGCTATACACTATAAGACTATATATTCCATTATAATAACGCTTAAAATAAAGTAGTTTAGCTTATAATAACGGTTGTATTCAACCTGAAAGATAACTCTGATGCATATTTTCGTAAAACGCTGTGAAGGGATTGTCTTCGCCTTAAAAAACCGTCATTAAAAACTATGATTTTGCATTGCTATGTACTAAATAAAGACTTCATCTTTCTAAAGCCCTAATTTTCAGCAAATAATCTTCTCACATCGTTACGCCATGTTTTCGACGCGAAACGCATATGCCCTCTTAAGATATGACATTAATAATTATTTCATTTCAGCAGCAGTCCATGCACAGACAAGTACCACCTTTTCCTGGCTCCTGGAGTTTTAACCGCTGGAGGAATCAATCGGGCGTGCATCTCCAGGTTCTACCCTGAGGGTCCAGCACGTATGGTCATCACGCTCCTAGCGGACAATGGAGAGTCAACGACCGCAGCTAGGGATCTGCTTCCCGGTACGGTACTGAATAAATCAAACAGTACACAAAAGCAAAAATGGTTTTATTAAAGATAGTGATGTATATTCTGTAAATATTAGAAACTAGCAAGTTAGTTATACCAGTTACCCGATTCCAAAGATCGAGTAATTCCTTCATGGGGATGGTGGTATACGGTTTTACAACAAAGCCCCAGAAAATATGCAGACTTATCTATCAAAAGATTTAAAATATTTATTAAGCAAAAATTGTGTAGTAAGGATTGATTAAAACTACTTTTACGGATTTTATAGCGTTTCATTTTAATGTTTCGGGTGCTTTCCAGCATCCATGGTCACGAGGGACTGAGATGACTGACGTTCCGATGTCATTGTTAAACCCGGAGTACCTTCATCTTTTTTAATTATTTTTTATGGTCCGATCTATGCTTGGGTTTAGTTTTAATTTTATTGATTATAGGGTCCCAAGCAGGTGGTAGTACCCAGTGGCGAAGCTAGGGCTCCAAACTAAGGCAAGCCCAAGATATGGTTTTGTTATTTTTAGTAGTTTAATAAAAATACACCAATCTTGAGCTGTCTCCACTCTTTAGTTTCATATTCAGTGCTGTCAAGGACGTGTTTAACAAAGCACACAGAAAGCATACTGCCGCTAGATAGATTGTATGACATAATATGCAATTGCACACCTTCGGTGGTTTTGAAAAGAGCCGTTTGGGTTTGCTTGAGATATTTACAAACAATACAATACATGAACAAAATAAAAGCATGAACAAAGTACAAACAAACTATGTACAAAGTTAAAAAAAGGGACGCCTGGCAGATGTGAAACCTCGAAATTATTTTGTTTAAGTTATATGCATAAAAGAACAGATTACGACAGGAATTAGATAGTTATAATGAGAAGATAAAGCTTTGCTAATTTTTTACCATGAAATAATGACTATTTATTATATAATTATTCATTTTCAATTCATAATAAACCGTACAAAATGATATTTTGAAACTCATATTATGGTAATATAAATTAACCGATAGCGTATTTGTGCCATCTAGCGTAATCTTTAGGTACCATCGTGAGACTCAACCAATCTTCGTTCGATAAAATGACTTTACCTATAGAATTAAGTAGATGGTGCTATTAAAATTTTATATACTGGAAATAACTAAAGGGAGTATTCTTTAAAAATCTCAATACATTCTTCTGTATTCTTTTGATTTAATTCATTAAAATTTGGGCTTCACGTTAAAAAAAGATTGTAACACTTATTTCCTATAAAATTAAACCTAGGTGTCTCATATTTTATGCTGGTGTTCAAATTGATATTTTTAATTCGTATGGTAATATAAATATTGAGTTATTAAACCTTTAAAGACGCCTAACTTAATTAAACTTTAATACTAAAGAGTCCTGTGCCTATATTTAAAGTATGAAGAAATATTTATTGAATATTAAATTTCATTTTTAAACATCTTACCTTTTCCTCGCCGATTAGCACTTCAACACACTTATATTCATCACAATGAACACTATTATCCTCCCATTTTCACTGAAAATCTTTGAGAAAGCATAAATTTTTAACAAACACAACAAAAACAAACATAAACATTGAAATGTGAAGTGAACTTGCACATGAATGGCCCGCACCCCATTCGCTAGTCGCTAAAACACTCCTAAACAACTTCATGGCAAAGCCAGGCTTGTGGCTCAATAGTAATTGCTATATAAACATTTCGTAGTTATATTTAATTATAGAATATTTTGCCATAGGTTAGAAAGAGAGCGATCGTCTTCTCGAAAGCCCCGTAAAAAGCCCACGCGAGCGAGGAAGACAACTAATCGCTCTATTAAAACTCACTTTTTATGACAGCAGCAGTATCGCTTTATACAAAGGTACTCTGTGAGTATCGCTAAGGCAATGCGAGGTCATCGGTCGACATGTGTCGAACAGTGGAGTGCGCGGGAAAATTGAAATAATTTGAAACAGTTTATGAGTTATTTTATTAGATTGATATTATTGATTGATTCAGTTTTAATAAGGCAAGCCCGGCTTTTTGGCTTTTATAGATGCTTCGCCACTGGTACCCAGCCTCCTTCTCTATTGAAATTAGCCTCACGTATCATCCTTGGTAGAATGTCGGTGTTCTTTCGCGAGGATTTGTGGTCTATCAAATCTGATGTAATTGTTGGGGCCGTCTAGGATATGATCACAAACTGCAGACTTCCCGGAACGTTGATGCTTCACATCAGCTATATATTCTTTTACGCGGGTTCTAATCGATCTTTTTGTTTATACTTTATAAGAGAGACCACATTCACAATCAATTTTGTACACTCCAGCATCCTGTAGAGGAATATGACACTTGACGGATGGTAAGAACTGACTAATCTTCTTCGGCGGTTTGTAGAATGTTCTAATAGAAACTAGCTTCAAGATATCTGATGCCAATCTTGTCTGTGACACCTCTGACATATGGTAGTACAGCAGGCACACGCTCGACTGTGTAGTGTTCGCGTAAATATAAGATTTCATTATGTGTAGTAAGGGTTATTAAAAATTGTGTTAGTGGCAATACCACTAGAGTGCATGATTGATAATAATAACCCCTGGGAATGAGATGGCCGCTACCAGGCTGTTTCTAAATGTTTTCTTTACAACTGTTTAAAATATTATATAGTAATATACCTTTTTTTTAAAGTTCCGCTGGGTTTCTTGCTGGTTCATCCCAGGATGGAGGTTTTTTTACGAACCAGTTGTATAAGTCAAAAATGGTTTTCAATAAGTATTACATTAATCTATATTAAATAAAGTTATTCTATTTACATTTTAAGCTGAAAGAAATTATCAATATTAGGCATATAAGAAGAAAATTAAATTGGAACACTTGGAGTCAGGGGTTCTAAACTCACTTTATTATATTGTCAAAAGTATAATGAGTTCAGATAGCTGTTCATTTATCCATTTTGTACCTTTTTTTTATAAAACAAGTGACAAACGATCTTACAGTCCACCTGATGGTAAACAGCTACTGCAGTCCGCTGACACATACCATCAGGTATCATCATCGACTTCGCTTGTCACTTGTTTAATTTAAAAAAAAGTTTAGCTCATGATGACAAGGTGGAACCCCCGGAACCTGTCCAGGAGGGTAATGTTTATTGTTTACAACTTAACCTATGCTAGCCAAATACGATCTCAGGTAAAAAAGTCTGCTCGATTTATCCAGAGATTTAATGTACGCAAATTCTACCCGCATTGAGCTTCGTTAATTTATTGTATTATGTACATTTGACAGTCATTCTGAGTGAGTCAAACACAATGGAGTTATCCAATACGATGTACATTACAGGTGTAGTGGCGGTGTCAGAATATATACTACCCTTTATCGTCCGGTGGTTTCGTAGGAAGCGACAGAGGGAAACTAATCAGGAGATGGGCTGGATCACAGAAAATAATACCTGTGGTTGTCAACCCACCTGGCAAGCGTGGCAACTATGGCAAATATTCTATGAAACAATCTAAGGAGGCCTGTGTTCAGCACCTTGAAAGACTGTAATAAGTGAAAGAATAAGACGTTATATTATTCAACAGGTGACGGCGGCTGTCTGGACATATCCGTGCCATTGCGACCCAACACCAAGGCTGATCTGATTGTCAACATGCGGTATGTAATACAATACCCGTATTAAAAAAATTGTTATCCCGTCGTGTGGTGACGATGTGAGAGAACCTATCAGATCCCTTATCATATTGTCAAAAAACTTTATTTGTTAGGAAATAAGAAATTAACTTAGTAATTAAGTTATTTGTTAGCAATTAGGTTATTTAACATTATTTACTTCTATTTATTTAAACAAATTAGGGTACATTACTACAGAAATTATCTCGCCAAACTGCATTCAGTTTGTCGAGTACACTCTCTTAAAATACTTATTTTATTTTGCACCGTCACCTACAATACAAAAATATACGTTACAGTTGGGACTAACACAGCACTGTTAATTGCCATACGTGCCTTTAGAGAGTAAGAGAGAGAGAGAGAGAGAGTGCCCTCAGAGCTTTTGTAGAGCTCCATTTACTCTATTTCCTGCGTTCAGTCGTTCTATATCCTTATCATATCTCCCATCCCTGCTAAATACGCATCCCAAATATACAAACTCATCTACTTGCTCGATCAATACAATTAATTATAAAATATTTAAAAAGAAATAAATCGAAGGCTTTACTTACAATGAATTACAAAATAAATAAAATGAAAGACGGCGACATGACATTTGCTTATGAATAAAAGAATTACATTTATATATAGAATAGAATAGATGATCAATAATGAACCTTCCCAATCTGAAGTTCAATGGCGTCAATCCAGAATTATAACTTCAATATTTATATACCATTAATATGCAATAGGCTTGCATCCTACATCCTGCATACCTTTGCAAGTCGTCACTTCATTTAGTGGGAGTTCGCCCTACACTTCTCTTACCGGTACGAGGTATATTCGAGAACTTTCCTTCCACATCTGTTGTTGGTTCTTCGAACTATGATATGGCCGGCACATTGCAACTTCAGCCTACTAATTCGTAATTCCTATAAGGTACGCGTTTGTCCAGCGGTAGACATGTAATGGATAGTAATGATGATGATGATGATGAATATACAATATGATATATTGCCATAAAAATAAAAAAGTTCGATTATTAATATACGAGTCGCTTGATTCCAACTTCTCGTGCAAAGTTGCCTAGTAAGCAAAGGGGACTATTTGGTGAGTAAATCATATCTGAAGAATGAAACGAATAAGTATAAAAGATGATAAAAGAAACTTTCCCGATGTGTAGTTCGATCATTATTATACGAATTACTGATCGTGTAACTGAAAGACTTGACTGACTTGATATTTACATAATATATTTCTTTTTTGAGGTGATTGTTCATAACTACGCTAGCACTGTTATTAACAAATTCTATTTTATGAACTATTTAATTATCCCTACTTTAACGTATGGTAGTGAGAGTTGGGCGTGGCAGAAGAAGCACGGGGAGTAGAATAAATGCAGTAGAAATGCGGTCGCTAAGGAGTATGTTAGGGCTGAATCTGTGTGACAAGGTGAGAAATTATGTGATAAAAGAAGAGTGTAGTTTGCAAGATGATGTTGTGACCAGGATTAAGAAAGTAATGCTTCGGTGATTTGGTCATATGGAAAGAATGAATGAGGAAAGAGTGACAAAGCAAATTTATGTTGCAGAAGTGAATAGAAGAGTCGGAAAGGGACGTCCTAGGCGAAAGTTTTTTGACCAAATTGACGATATATTGAAAATAGGCCAAATTACGAGTACCTTTAACGGACGAGTATGAATGCGTAGGTAATATGAATGTGGAGGAGGCGAGAGACATATGTCAGGATCGTGCCAAATGAAAGTCTGTAGTCTCTGCCTACCCTCTGAATGAGTGTTTAGGCTAATATTTCCAATATGGACCATCGATTTCAAAACCCATTTTTTTTTGTAGATAGTACTCACTTAAAGAAAGCGTTTTGCAAAGTTTTAGGTTGCGGAAACTTACGGTTCATGAGATATATTTTTTTAAACTTTTCATACAAATTGGAAAATAATACGCAATTACAAAATAAATTTGACAAATGATTGATGTCAAACTGATTGATGTTTGACATCAATTATTTGTCTATTTAAATAACTTTAGTGTTTGTTTTTCTATATTATACATAGTTTTTTTTATATATTGTGTGTAATTAGTATTAATTGTAAATATGTATTATAATTTCATTTCATTAATTAGAAAAAATGTTGGCTATTATTTGTCAAATTTATTTTGTAATTGTGTGTTATTTGCCAATTTGTATGACAAGTTAAAAAAAATATATCTCATGAACCGTAAGTTTCCGCAACCTAAAACTTTGCAAAACGCTTTCTTTTAGTGAGTACTATCCCCAAAAAAAATATGGGCATTTAAATCGATGGTCAATATTGGAAATTTTAACCAGTGTTTTTTATTTTCTATTTTATGAACCAAAATGACCTATGTTCAGTATATATTAAGTAGGTTTAGTGGTAATATTATTTTGTTACGGTTTTACTACGTTGTAAGAAGCGATGCTCTTAAATTAATTATTTCATATTTAAGTGACAGAACGCAAAAAGTTGTCATTAATAGTATGAGTTCTTCCGGGTCGATTGTACAAAAGGGCGTGCCTCATGGCTCAATTCTCGGCCTCTTTCTGTTTCTTGTATATATTAATGACTTACCTTACATAGTAGGGGATAACCATGATATAGTGTTATTTGCTGATGATACTTCATTAATTTTCAAATTAAAACAACAGTTATTAAATTACCACGAAGTAAATAATGTTATATCTAAGTTAGTCAATTGGTTTAATGTTAATAATTTGCATTTGAATGGAACTAAAACTAAATGTATGAAATTCGTAACTCCTAATGTTAAACATGTCAATACTAATGTAATTTTAAATGGGGAGGAACTGAGTCTTGTTGATACCACCATTTTTCTTGGAATCACACTGGACGCAAAGCTTCAATGGCTCCCCCATATATCAAAACTAGCTAGCAGACTTAGTTCTGCAGCATATGCTGTAAAAAAAGATTAGAACTCTTACAAGTGTTGAAACAGCTAGAATAGTTTACTTTAGTTATTTCTATAGCATTATGTCGTATGGTATTTTGCTATGGGGACACGCGACTGACACCAACCCATCAACCAACTAGATAACGGATCACATACAAAATCATAGCTAAATACTGTCCGCGTGAATATAAACTTAAACAGATACATTTGTTTACTAAAGAAATGAGACAAAAAATTAAAATAGTTTTAAGCTCAACCTAATTACAACCATTGTATCTAGTAATAAAGTCACAAATCTTACGATCATTAGTCACTAAAAAAGAACAAATCTATACAATACTCCTATCACTTGGAAATGAAAAGACATAAATTAAATAACCTTTGGTGTGAAATCAACCGTAACGTGTAACAAATAAAGTTCTTTTTCCCGTTATTGCCTTGCGAGCTACGTCAGTTTGTTATGTTTCTGTTTTCTTCTTGGAATTTGGTCCAGGAAGTATTGAGTCGCGTTGAACACTAAAATAATTTATAATATGATCATAAGTTTAATTAAAATTATTTTTATGTTTTGGGCATTTATGATTGTATACATACTTTCCACACTAGCCATTAAATATAATAATATAGTATGTAGTATATTGATGGCATTTAATTATCTAATTCAATATATATCTATTTTAGTTTTTGTATGTATATATGTTCGTAGTATGTATGTATCTATGTATAGTATATATATATACATATATATATATATATATATATATATATATATATATATGTATTCTTTCTTATCACACCAATTTGTCCTACTCCTGTCATCTTCATGTAATCCTGTCCATTTAATGGTTGTCTGGTAGAAATTGCTGTCAGCAATAAGATCGCCCATTGCATACTTTCAAAACGTGGTAGAGCCATGCTGCAATTATATTAGTAGTATAGTTGTAGCACTAATGGGTCGGCTCGACCAGGGAAGAAAGCTAGGAAAGCTAAAAAAAATCTAAGTATCCATTGGAATTACACAAACATAGACAAAAGTAGCAATTACCATTATTTAAAGTTTTGGTAATGAATTATTAAAAATAATTACAATACAAATCTACTTCATGCGTCCATGTTCTGTATCACAAATGTTTGCGTGTGTATTGGTCAACATTGGCAAAACATTTTTAGAGGTGGTTTTGATCGGTAATTTTGTTTAAAATATGATATTATTTGTTAGTTTAGAGCTTAAAATATAACATATTATACATGTAATTACCGAAAGTAAGACATTCCGGCCTTTTAGTTACTTTTTCGGGCATTATTTTTGCAACTTTTAAATACACATTGCGGCATTGTGAAACGTGTTTACATTGGCTGTGTTTCAAGTGAACTAAACGAAACAAGAGCTCACGTCTCATGTGCGCTGTTATTTACTTAGATGGATTTCTTGCGCCGACCCGACATCTAGTTGGTATTGTTGATCGAAGTTTATTTTACAGAAGAGGGCCATTAGAGCAATATATAATTTAAAACCAAAAGAGCCACTGAGACAAATTTTTAAGGAAATTAATATATTAACTCTGGCCTCTCAATACATTTATGAAAATGTAATGTACGTACACAAAAATAAAAGTAGTTTTGCGAAAATAAGTGATATTCTTTTTGTAAATACTAGGAGCAGACATAAGCTAGTAGTACCAGTTACTCTCCACCGAGTCAGTAATTCATTCATGGGGCGATGTATACGCTTTTACAACAAAATCCCAGAAAATATACTAAATTTGTCATACACAAAGTTCAAAAATGTTATTAAACTAAGTTTGTATAAAAAGGGTTATTATAATATTAAGGAGTTTATGGACGATAATAACCCTTGGGAAGGATGATCGCTACCAAGCTATTTCTAATTTGTCTTGTGTTGTTAATTGTAAACATGATTGTAAGCTATTATTGGAAAAAATAGTCCCGCTGGGTTTCTTGCTGGTTCTTTCCAGGACAGGGGTTATTTTGCGAACCAATGGTAAAAGAAAAAAGTGACTTTCAATAACTATTGTAATAATCTACATTGAATAAAA